CCTCTTTACGCATTGACTGGATTATTGTTTATCACTTAATCAGACTAAGCAATAATTGAGCTCAGATCTGCATACCTCCCCGAGGAGCCTGTAACCATTCTAAGATTCGATAACGCGGTGTTGGCAAGTCTGTCAGTTTTCTGAAATAATTTCAGGGCTCTATCCTTTATGTATTTTTTGATGGGATCAATCTTAATCTTAATATTTAAATATATTTGATACCGCCAGATTTTATCTCTGTGGCTACTTAAAGTCAAAGGTAAACCTTTGAAATATTACGACCAAAAATTTCAGAAAACGACACACTACACTTTTTGAGGTATGAGTGATCACCTTTGCGATATGATGTGATAAGCCTCTTTAAATCAAGTTAAGTGATTTTTAACTGAAACATCAAATGATATGTTTTTTCCCTTGTTTTTTATTAAATAGTGGGTCCACCTAATATAGCCAACCCTGTATTTAATGCAATATTTTTACGAAGCAAATAAAGAAGTTCGAATTTATTTTAAATGTTATTATTATGAATTTATCAATTCCAAGCGGTCATAGTTTCAGATACTTATAATTAGTGAAACTATAAGGAAATAATTAACTGTGCTTTCGGTTTGTCTTGGAAATATTAAATCTTCAACAGTTTGACAATAAAATTATTGGAGCCAACTTTTGACAAAACTTAGTGCGGCTGATTGGCAATCGTTGGCAATATTGTAATATCAATAAATCAAGTCTTCAGTTTAATTGTTGCAAATTTCTCAAATCTCATGTATAATTATTTCTACATAACGCAATTAAATTCATATTTATCTTTTCAATGAGATTTGTTAGATTTACCAATTGATCTTAGAGATATGGTGCGGAAATGTCAAATAATTTTATGGAAATCAGCAAAGCGAAAATAATTTTTTAAAAAAATCGAAATAAATAAAAAATAATAAAATTCAAATGCTTTTAAATAATTTTAAACTACATTCAATTTATTTTAATATTTCTATAGCATTTATGGATGGCAATTAGTTATGTTGTAATATAAACATTAGTACGTGCCGACATAGAGAAAATGTGTCTTATTCAAATGTTAAGTGTTATTGCCCTTTGAGGAGTGCTTCCAATACAAATTAGTGACATTGGCCCACAAATGTATTCGATATTACATCAAATTTTGGATTTTTAACCAATAAATTGCAAAAGAAATTGAAAATTAACATTAATAGTTTGGCGTTAGTGGTTTAAGCGAGAGGGTAAGATGTGAATAGTAATGTCTTAGTATAGAATATTTGAGTATAGAAAATCTGATAATGCTAATCTGATGTAGTTGATATAATATGTAAGGTATATAATGTGTATATAGTAGTATTTATAAATTAAAAAACTCTAAGAAACCTTGATGATTGTTTCTGGCTTTGCTTATACTAAACCTAAAGGTAAACGTAGCTTGGTCTCGATTATTAAATTAGAATGATTTTTAAATATTAATTTTAATTTAATTTAAAAAATATAAAACATTAGAATTTAATTCGGAAAACTGAACCACTTTATTGTACTGAACTGAACATTATAAAGGTTGATTATAAACTCTACTAAGGTTTGATAATCCTAACAATATATTGAAAACTGAATTTATTTTCTTTATTCTATTTATAATGTTCTCTCAGTTATTTTGTGACCCTCCGTGATGGCTTGATAGCTGCGGAACATGACATCAGATTGCGTTCGATATTTGGGATTTTGGTGAAATGTCACCGTTTTATTTATCTTATGTACTTATATGTTTTTATTATTCACATTTCTGAGTGCTTACATGCTTATGAGTGCTTACATGCATTCTCTCTCTCATAAGCATCGTATATATGCACATGTGTATAATATTATAATACAAGGTGTTTTATAAAGCGAGCAGAACTTTTCATGAAAGAGAACAACAAAAAGTTTTGGGGGAAAAATTAAATTTCTTATTTAAAACTTATTTTAGTAGAGTTAATAGTTTTAAGCAACTTCTTTTACTATGCTATAAGCCGATATAGCTTGTTTACATCCTGAGATATTAAGGTAAACTTGGTTCTCATAAATAAATTTCATATATATAAATTTTATTACTATTGTATTCATATATGTAAGTTTTATGTATAATATTCATATACAAAAAAACCGCGATATCTAGAAAGCTAACATATATACCGCGTATATATCAAACATATCGCTTAGAGGAATTAATTGCTTAAAATATCTGTTGTCTAATAGATGTGGCCAAGTGACTGTTGTAGTACATTACTATACCATGACTTGATTTTAGTTTTAGATAAGTTACTATACCAGTATATTATTTTATTAACGATCTGATCAGTCGTTTCGATGCCATAGCCATTTGACACCCTTTGGAATACAATAATTTATTTTTAATTCTTTATATTTCCATCATATATGACAAAAGATAATACGATATGGCAATATGATGTAGTAATATGATATAATATGATAAAATCATGTTTATTTTCCTATTATTTATCTTCTATTATTAAATATAGTATTGTATTTAATAAAATTTGTTTTTAATCCATGTTGTTTGTATATTTGGCAACAAATAAATAAAACAATACATACAACTTCCACTTTTTTGTATGCATGCAAAGAAATATTTACCAAAATATATAAAAACTATAAAATTTTGTTTATGTAGAGTTTTTAGTTTATTTGGTTTATGTTTATAGTTAATTTTAAATATATAAATATATTTAATAATACAAATTTCAGCTAAATTGGTGCAGTTAATACGACTTTAGTAAAACATTGAAGACCGTAAGTTTTTGAATAAAGAACTCAATACACGATTTTTAAATACGGTCTTTGACGTTTTTATACTAATACGTTCATTGTTGTTTACGGTCTAAATACGGTCTATAAAAATAGTGTTTGTAATTTTTTAATTTATGACACAAACCCAAACCTTAATATTACGGTCTTTGAAAACTACATGATTATGTACTATATTTATAGCGATGACCGTGTAAATAATAACACTGCGCGACACTGAATTCTCTGCTTTTTATTGTGTTGTATTAAGTGAATTTGGGACTGATGAGTCCCATCTGAATCTAATCTGAAATTAGTGTTTTTTTAATCATCTGGATGGCCAGGAATAACAGGTTAAACTTCAAATAGTTGGGTTTTAATAAGTTTAATTTTTTTATTTCACTTGTATTGACCCATGCCAATAAGTTTGAAACGGATTTTAGTTCTAATTTTGAGATCATGACTTTTAAGATGTTTTTTGTATTTAAGAAAAGTATTACGTGCTACTTGTATTCAACATTTGAGCTCTTTGAAACAATTCTAACTTTTAACATATTTATATAGCATTCAAGATATTTAAAATGTTGTACTTTTTCTATAACAATATTGTTAATAATTAAATTTGTATTGTAAATTTTTTTTTCGGTTAACAATCATATATTTTGTTTTATTTATGTTTATTCGTAGGCCATATTGTTCTCTAGTGTTGCTTACCCTGTTTACTAGCTCTTGTGGGCCAGCAATAAGAGTCTTGTCATCTGCGTATCTGCGTCTTGTTAATGAAAACACCGTTTACATTCACATCTTGTTGAGTATCACTAATAGATTATTCAAATATTTTTTCGGAGTATATATTGAATAACAGTGGCGATAATATTAAATTCTGTCTAACTCCTCGTAAAACAGATATTCCTTCTGTTATATTGCCAACGATGTTTACATGCGCAGTTTGTTGTTAATACAAATTTTTAATGTATCTCTCGGATTCCTTGTCATCAATATTAATGTTTTAAAGAATTTTTATAAGTTATTCATGTTTCACGTTGTCAAACACTTTTTCGTGATCAATAGAACAGTGGAAAACGTCTTTGCAGTTTTTAACTAAAACTTGGATATATAATAGTGCTTCCCGATTTCCAAGTCCTTCTTTAAAACCCAATTGCCATTGTATGATTTTTAGAAATATTTTTAGAGCATGTGACATGACGCTAATAAGTCTGTACTCATTACAGTTTTTTGCAATTTTCTCCATAGTCAGTGTTATGAATGTAGATTTTACCCAGTAGTCGAGATATTGTCCACTATCGTAAACATGATTATACAATATTGCGAGGAGATTAGTATTTTCTCCATCATTTAATTTTAAAATTTGAGATCGAACCTCGTTTGGGCTAGTTGTCTTATTGTTTTTCATGGATTGTATGGCTTTCTTCACTTTGTCTTTAGTTATATACACTTCAGTTGGCGTATTTGTAAGATAAATATCATTATTTAGCCTATTGCTATCTGAAGAAACGTTTTCAATAAATGTTTTCTAAATGCGTTTCTTTGCAATATGTCAGAAAATAGAAATTATAAAATAGAAAAAAAAAGACAAAATAAATAAATAACTATAACAATAAATGTTTTCCAAATGCGTTTCTTTCCATTTATGTCAGAAAATAGAAAATTAAAAAATAGAAAAAAAAGACAAAATAAATAAATAACTAAACAAAAGAAAGGAAAGGAAGTAAGGTTAACTACAAAATAAAGAGGCGTAAAAAATAGACTAATTTTTAAGTAAAGTAAAGTACAAAAGGTAATAAGCGTAGAAAATAATAAGAGTAGAATAGTAGAAAATAATAGTAGAAAAAATAAAATAGAGCACAAAAGTAGAAATAGAAAAAGGCACAAATTACAGGAAAACAAAGCAAAAATAAAATGATTATTGAAAAATAAAAAAGAAGAGGAACGCATAATAAAGAAAATAGAGAGAAATAAAAAGAAAATGCAAAATATATTCATTAAATATAAATTTTTGAAATATTTTTCTTTAATGATACTTATTTTATTGGAACATTTTCTAATACATTGTATTGATTTATTATAATATTAATTAACTTATTTTTACATCAGTGTTATGTCTATAAATAATATATATTTATAATATAATAAAAAATTTACAATTATATAGAAATATTTTCAACTTTAAAATTTATTCTAAGCTTATTTTAAAATATTTAACTGGGTTTTAATTAGAATATTGCAGATTGCAATCAATTAAGGCACTTGAATGCGATGTGATGGTCACAGATAATGGCATATGTGTGAGTCTTCAAACTACAAACATACATAAGACACTTTTTTTTTTAATTGAAGCGTAATAGACCTCTTCAAACTAAATCTAAACATCTTGGAAGATTTATTTTTCTTGTCATGTGAAATAATAACTTTTTGAATAAATTTAAATATTTAAGATTATAATGTATTGATAGCCACTGATATATCTGTTGGATTGCCATCATCACTTCAGTAACCACAACCTATGTAATACTTAAACACTATTTTATATTTGTACATTATGTTTTGAATTACAATATAAAGTTTATATATAAATTAAATATAATTAATATATACAGTCATTATTCGTCTCCATTGAAAGTAATTTGAAATTGTGTAAATATAATAGTTAAGAATATTAAGCATCGGAGATCGGAGAAGAGTCAATGTTGTTTTATTCGTCTATTCCATAAACAATATTGCTATCTCTTTTTCACACTTTAACAAGATAAATGTTCGCTTCGCCTTATGATGTGGCCATTAATTTAGCGGCTTGTATGACGTTATGTTGGTGATGGTAACCAGCTAGTTCACTGGCAGCACTATGGATTCCAGCGCTATTACTCGAACCGCTGAGCGCCCCAAAAGAAGTGCCAAAATAGCAATTATTCACATAATCATAGTTTGTGGAGTTGGCTTCTGTCTTCACTCCATAACCACTATTCCCCGATGAAGCTGTGCTGTGCTGTCCCAAAGCGCTACTATGATGATGGGCAACAGCCGCTGCGGCGTGATGATGATGGTGATGGTGCAAGTGGGCTGCTGCAGCAGCGGCACTGTGATGATAATTTGGGCTGGGTGTACTCGCCGCTAGGCTATTCGACAACGCGGCACTATTACTGCCATTAGTGGATGATAACAGATGTTCATATTTGCTGGGTGTATGAGTACCAAATGCTGTGGAATTATTTTGTGCATTCAGTGACGTTGAATAGAGATTAGAATTCAGTGATGCTGCTGCGGTCGCTACTGTGGATGCAGTTGAGCCACTACTTGTTGGGCTGGAATGGAGGTGTCCGGTAGAATGACGTGTTGGTTGCGTGGACGTGGAAGGTAAATGCATGTGATGGCTCAATGAACTGTGTAATGCACTGGTGGCTGAGCCTAAACTGAGGTTGTGTAAGGGATTGCTACTGCTACCACTGCTTTTGACACCTAAATCAGCTTGTAATTTGGCAGTTAGTGCTGCTGAAGTCACAAGGCTGTGGCGATCGAGACTTAATGATGCTTTTGAATCTGAAAAAGAAAATTGATTTAATATGATTGCAAAGACTTATTTATATATTTTTAAACTGAGGAACTCAAGAGTTCATATATCAAAAACAAAAATAACTTACCGTCTTCTTTGTGGTCCTTGCTATTCTCGCCTGAACTGCCACATTTCTTAGGTTTTCTTTTTCTGGTTTGTATACCATCCTTCCGCATGGCTAGTGGTCTATTGACACCGTGCAACTTAAAATACAATCCACAAGCATTGCAAACAGGTTCACCTTCATTATTACGCCGCCACAAAGTTGTGGTGCGTGTACCGCAATTGGTGCAACACAGTCCCAAGCGTCTTGTAGCAGTCTAATAAAATATTAATAAAAAAATCAATAAATAAATAAATAATTTATTTAAAAATAAATTATAAAGCGAATTTAAAAAAAAAGAGCACTCACTGCACTCACCAATCGCTTGCTTGGCTTGATCAATGGCCTATTCATGCCGTTCATTTTGTGATACAATCCGCAAGCGTTGCACAGATAATGGCCTGTGCCATCTCGTCTCCAAAGTGGCGTGCTAATTGCACCACAATTAACACACTCACGTCCCTCTCCAAATTGAAAATCCATGGCACTGTCATAGGGTGAGGAACGTTGAAAGCCTGTGGGATCATAGGCGGCACGCCAGGAACCCATCATAACGGCTGCATTTTGCGTGTAGAACTGTGCAGGCAGTTGTGCGTGCGCCGTACTGAAACTATCCGTGGGCCAAGCATTCTGTGCTGCAGCGCTGCCGAAATGTGCTGCCACATGATTGTACTGGCGATTTGAGGGTACATAGACTGGTGCATTGACTGCTGCTGCGGCTGCTTGCTGATGGTAAGAAGAAACACCGGTACCAGTGCCGCTACCTGTCAAATCAGCGTATCCCGCACCGGAGTGATACATTTTCGTGTTAGATGCTGGATGCTGTTGAAAGTGCGTACTATGCGTGTGATATGGACTGATATGGTTGAAATCCTGCTGCAATAGATAATCGCGTGTAGACTGTTGATCCGATGTAGACTATAAAAGACAGATAGAGATATGAGAAAAATTAAATATATTAAATACTATGGAATATAAATAATATCTTCTGTGTTGGAACTACTTTTTTGACTACTATTTTTTTTATTAAATTGATTTTTAAAGTCCGTTTTAACGAAACCAAATTCTTAATATAAAGTATTGTTTTCAATAGAAAGGCTTTTATCGAAGAATTGTGGAATAGCAACAACACAATTTTTTTTATTATTTTTAATTAATTGAATTTCTGGCTGACCTGGCAATACACAAAACAGCTGTATGATCAGCCAAAAATTCAATTAATTAGAAATAATAATTTTTGTTGTCGCAATTCCACTACTGATCGATAAAAACTACTAGTTTTCTTAAAAAAAATTTATAATACATAAATACCTATGTAAGTACAACATTGTGTAAAAATTATAATCATTATATATATATTTTTATAATTATATATACCTTAATTTATATCTAATTTTATATACATATATATATATATCTTTATTTACTAGTAAAAATAATTTTTCAACAAATATGAAAAGTATTCTTAAAGTACTTGTCTGAAGTTCAACAGTGAACAGTTATACTGCAGTTACAAATCATCAAATTTTTGAAATCTTGAACCAATGAAAATAACAATAGTCAAAGCATAGCATAGACTATTGTTAAAATCAGGACCGAAATTAGGGCTGAGCGCTGATATAATATCATTATATATTTTAAAAAGTGCTAAGGTATCCCTCTTTAGTACTTTTTTCTTTTTCTTTTTGGCTTATATTAGCTAGTATATTTCACCCCTAGTTCACTGAAAACTTGAAATTTAGATTTTGTTCATAAAAAAAGAAAAATTTTAAACTTTTCTTGTAAACAGTATTAAATTTTTATTCAAAACAATAATAACATTTTAAAATCTAGAGAGGGAGAGCGAGCTCCCCTCCCTTCCACTACCTGTGTACGCCCATGTTTAGATATAAATTAAAAATATTACAAACAGTCTGTAATCAAAATATTGGGAATTTGTTTTGCGCTCTAAAAATTTATTGTAGGTTCTCTTTGGGGGTTTATAGTCGAATTTCCTTTACAAACTGTAGTATTGAACCTATATCAAAGAGTTGTATTTCTTCATCCGATATAAAATACCCAGCTAGGCAATTCTAGATGTTTATGCATTAATGCCGGGCAAAATCCTAACATATTTTTTGAAGTCTCATTCTCTCCCCTACAAAATCGATAAGTTTTTTTAGAGTAAGTTCAAAGTTTTCTAGAGTAAATTCTGTCAGAATGCTTGTAATGCTTCAATGCATTGTCGTATCACATATTCTAATATAAAGGTTTTATTTTATTATTTATTTTTATCGGAATAACATGATTGTATATAAAGTAGATAGCATTTACGTGAAAGAGAATAAGTGTGTCAATGCCAACATTGACATTTTCGCGCGAAAATCTATTAAAAACGTTTTAAACAGAAAACACACCTCGCAAATACAAAAGAAACATGTTTCATTAATTAAATTCTGTTCATCCTTAAGTACAGTACGGAATTGATTGAAAAAGGCTTCCTAAATTGTTTTCCGTTTTGTTGTTCTCATTCTCCTTCTGCTTCTGCTTTCTTACTTTTAATAAGTGATGTAGGGCAACATGAACGGCAGTAACATTATGCTTAGTTTTGATTGGTTGATACACTCGCAAGGGCAACACCTCTGAAGGAACCATTTTTAATTTCTGTTGGCTTTGTCTTTTCAGAACATTTCCTTAAATTTCTGATTGTGGGTTTATGTTGGAAATAATCAATTTATTTGATTGACTTAATTTTGAATGCAATAATTTATTTTTAATTCATTTTAATTTTATTATTACATATATAGAAAACCAATAAAATTAATTTCGCAGCGTTTTACTTAATTTTGTTGATGTTAAAAAGATAAATAATAATAATACAAATTATTTATAATTTTTTATAAATCACTCATTAAATATAAACATATTTAAAACATATTTATAATTAATTATATTACTTTATAAATACTTATTAAATATGTTTCTATTTAAAAAAATTGTAATTAATTTTTTATAGATTTTTTTATTGAATATTTTATGTGTATTTGTAATTGTTTCTTAATAGCCACTTCTTAAATGAATCTCTATATATATAGTGTTTTAAGACAAAAAAATCGTCTACTTCCTTTTTAAAAATTAGAAATAATTAGAAATTAATTATGAAACAATTTTGATCATAAGTATTCGTTGGATTTGACTTATGTGTTTTCCCGTCGGGCATTTACTGAATAATATATAAATGCTGTGGTATATCGATGCTTTCACGTGATGATAACCAAAGTTAAGGCAAGTTTTAAGATAGTCGTATATATGTAAATACATATATAATCTGCGAATATAAGCTTAGCAGTGAATGAGGGCAAAATGAAGTATCTGTATTGGCTACTGAACAGTTAGAAAAAAATATTTACTTTTTACTTGCACCATTGCAATTTTCTATAAATAGAAATTTGTTTTTTTGATATAGAATCTGATGTACTTACATAACATATAAATATCACAATATGAACTCATTTTCGACAGTAATTTTGTAAAAATGCTGTAGAATGTTATAGTTAACTTATTTTATTTTAGTTTACGATTTTATACGCTTTGAATCACAATAACAGACAGAAAGATAGATTCTAAGATAGAGAGATGGATTGACAGATAAGCAGGCAGAACCACAGGCAGATATTTCCAATCCAATTTGTCTAATTATACTATTCAAGTATTTTAGTATGTTTATGGTTATATCATGATCAAATTAAAATGAACACTTATATTCGACAGTAAAGTGTCGCTTAAAACTCAAATAATAGTCACTTCAGTATCAAATCGATACTTAAGTGTGCCTTATAAATTTGGCTGTTAATATACCATTTTTACGTTATGTGTGCAAATTGTATAATAAGAAACAAAAGACATTTCTATAATAATCGTGTGTGTGTGGTTATTTTAGATAATTTCTGTCATAGATTAAGGACAAAAAAAGAGCCCACATTATCGTTTATTAGATACAAGAAGTTTTTAATGAATGAATAAATAAATAATTACTTTACAATGCATACCACAAATAGTTGATTATTTGTTTATATGAATTTTGTGCATACAAACAAACTACTAGAGTATACAACACATCATCGTTGTTGTTGCAAATTTGGCTTGTTTTATTATACATAATTTTTGCATATGGATTTCTGCGAAATTAACAATGTACGTATGAAATGATATAAAAGAACAACGAAATTAACAATGTACGTATGAAATGATATAAAAGAACAACACAAAAAGAAACAAGAAGAGAAAAACACGACATAGATGAGTATGCTAATAGTAGGGGGTTTGTAATGAAAACGTAAAAGCGACTAAGAGCTTTTAAGCCATGTAGCTCGGAAGTTTGTAGTTATGCTTCGGTTTTTCTAAAATATTTGTGCCATGTTGAGTGACTATCCAAATGGATAGCCAAATCAACTATAACCTCAGTTTAATAATATATTTCAATATATTTAATCGTGATTAAGCGGCTATCCAAATGGAGACTTAAATCAATTACATTATCTGTTTAGGGATCCTTACACGTTCAAAAAAAAAAATATAGCCAATGTAAGTAACTGACTTTATTTCTATAAACTTTAATATAAATTAGTTGATATTATACAATAATTTTGTATTTCGTTTATTACACTCATATAAATTTATTCAAACATTTACCTAAAATAATACCATTACTCTATAAAATATCAGAAACCATTCTTTTAACGATTTCGGATATTAATTTAACATAGTATTATAATTTGTTTAATACATTAATTTACAAAAGTCAAAAATGGTATAAAAACAAATTATAAGTTTATCTTATCCATTATAATAAACGATGATGTATGAATATTAAAAATACAATATCAAATGAAATGATAAAAAACAGATGCCGGAGTGCCAGACATAATCGATTGTCTGTTTGAATCCATTAAAGCGATATTTTGTTAAAATTTTTATCTGGTTTACTCTTGTGAACTTTTATTAATGCGTCACAGACACAAACAAAAAAAAAATAGAACTTCAAAGAAATAAAAAATAAAAATATAACAAAATCACATAAACGATAGATTATATAAATTGAATATATTACAACACAAATATATTTTAACTCTATCGATATATATAATTTGCCTATAAATCAGTAAAACTGTTTTTCCTTGCAGTTATATATTTATATATATAATATATATACAATGTACAAAGTATCTGCAATTATTAAATCCAATATAAAATATCATCAATTAATCCAAATTTATTTTGGATTTTGGATATACCTACGCCACCGCTTGTTTCAATCCTCTGTACATCTATTTCGTCGGCTAATTTGTGTAAAAAATTTAACTTCTGTGATTTTATTTTATATCAAAGATCGACTCTAAGCACTTTCCTCGAAGTAGTGTTTTTAGTTTTGTAAACAAAAAAATATTAGACAATGTCAGCGGCGCATCACTGTATAATAGGTAGGTATGCTATGAAACTGTACCTATCCTATAATGACTTTTGTCGTAGTTGTGGCTCTAAGAATGATGAGGAAACTGTGTCCCATCTCATGTGTTACTGCCCATCTTAAAGTATGAGAAGATGTGAAATCTTCGAGACTCCTTTTCTTACCGAAGTTTATAGAATAAACAGGTTGATTTATTTCAATCTAACTGACTTCTAGTCTATGTATGAAGAAACGCCAATCGTGTGGTACTACAATAGACCCTTATTTGAGCCCAAGTGGGCTTTTTTGGTACAAGACCGCCACTTGAACCTAACCTAACTTAGGGATATACTAAAATATATATTTACTCGTAATTTTTTTGTATTTCACTAAATGTATTAAAATTAGTTCAAGAGAATTATTAGGTGAGGGGAGAGATATAGTAAAAAATATTTTTTGCCATTTTTTGTTCATTTTCAGTTCATTTTATTAA